AAACTATAAAACTATTAGAAGAAAATATAAATCAAATAGTCTTAGATTAGCCCAAATGGAAGACAACAAAAGCCAAAACAGACAAGTAGGATTATATCCTTGTTCTATATCTCAGCAAATGGCAATAAATTTGTAAGTATCATTGATTACAAATGTGAATCACATACACTTATTTTTTTTACATCAACATACAGAATAGCGTTTGACAAACAACTACACACTACAGCTTAGCCTGTTGACATGAAAAAATGTAAGCAGCATAAATGGGGTCAATAAATTTATTTAAAATTAAAAATTAGGCCTTAAAGTTTTAAGCTTCTTACAAAATCCTTATTTTCATACCACTTGCTCAGTACTTTGAAGTACCATAACTCCTGTCTCTCACTGTATCCAAGTATTATAACAGCTGTGCTGGTTAAAATCATTCATGTAGTGCTGACTTCGGCAGCAGATGCACTAAAATTGTAATGATACAGAGAAGAGTACCATGGCCCCTGCACAAAGATAACATGCAATTTTGTGAAGGATTCCATATTTAAAAAAAAAAAAATCATTCAGAGTGGTGCCTGTGGCTCAAAGGAGTAGGGCACCAATTCCATATACTAGAGGTGGCAGGTTCAAACCTAGCCCCAGCCAAAATCTGCAATAAAAAAAAAAAAATCATTCATATATTGAAAAACTAACTCATATTTCTGGGCAGGGGATTTACTTGACGGTATAGTTCATAAGTTATAATGAAAGTTTGAAATATCCTCATTAGCAAGATAAGCAGAGTCCATAATTGCTTATTCTTTGCAGAGGGCATAACTACACAGGTGAAGTGGATAGACTCTTTTTTGTGACTGAAAACCAGTGACATAAGGCATTCCTCAAAATAACCAAGTATATTTTCTTAAATATACTTTTTATGCTTTTATTACTTTAACTCAATAAGTTGAACGCTTAAAGAACTGATCACAGAATGAAATTCAAACAGCCTGACATTTAACACATATTACACCCTTTCCGGCATTACAGATTAAACATCATTATTCCTCATTTCACGATATAACTTTCCACTATAATTAGACTTATATGTATAGTATGTCACTAATATGACATTTTGAATTTCAAGTCCACGTATTTTTCCGTTTTCTATTCACTTCTAGAATATAATGCTTTACTTTGAATATTCTTGTTCTATTCATGCTTAAACATAGTTCAAAATGCTCACATCTTGAAAAGCCCCACACTGTTTGTGGCGTCAGTGCAGACACATTTAATAGTGTTTTGCAACTTGCCATTACTGGTGTGATAACCAGAATACTGATTTTTAAATGTAAGTGCATTGGTCATCAGAATAGCTGCATGATTTCTTGCTTCCATGTCTTTGCCTTTACTCTTCTCCCTGACCAGAAGACTCTTTCCTATTACTCCTATTTCTTGCCCCCTCCACTAGCTTGATCCTAGCAATGCTTTAAGACAAACTTTAGTCAGCCTCTGTCCCCAATCGACAGGCTTGGTCATATGGTCAAAGATCTGCTTTCCACATTCTGAGATGGAGAGCTCAGGGAGAAATGCCCTTGGGAAGAAATCCTGAAAGAGACAGAGGAAAGTGGGAGTGGGCTGAGGGAGATGGTGAACTGTGTGCAGTCCAGCCTCAGTAAAGGCCTCTGTTGATTGCATAGGGAGCTTGGAAGCTGGAGTGATCCATCTCAGCCCTTGCAAACTGGGGGAAGAGCATGAGACTTATACCCTCACTTGTACCTGCTGGGCCTCCAAGGAAAGGATGTGACCTTCCCCTGAGGCATCTCCCTTCACTGTAAGCCTAAGGCCAGGAAGGCTCCCGCAGCAGGAGAGTAGGTAGGTCACCTGGGCTGTGCACTGCAGCTTCTGCTGTGGGACCTTCTCTGCTCCATGGTGTACATCTCTCTGTACTTATCAAGATGTGTTAAAATGTAACAGTCTTCCCTCTAGACCAGACTTTAGCAAATTGCAGCCTGCATGCCAAACATGCCAAATGGCCTGTTTTTGTAAATAATGTTTCCTTGGAACACAGCCATGCTCATTCATTTACATATAGTCTATGGCCATTTTCAGACTATAATGCAGAGTTAAGTAGTTGTACAGAGAATATATAGCCCTCAAACCCTAACATAATCATTATCTGGCTCTTTACAGAAAAAGTGTGCCAATCCCTACTCTGTTCTTTTATATAACACTCCACAACTGGTGCCTGGAAATTGACTCTTGGAGGAAAGACCAACAAGTTCATGTGTGGATGAGAGAATCACACAGACTCGGGTTTGATCCTTGGCTCTGCCACTCAAAAGCTCTGATATTAAGCATGCTGTATGACTTCTCTAAGCTCCTTGGTAAAATGAGATTTATTACTTCCTCATCAGGGTTGTAGTAAACATTAAATGAGAAAGGATGTGTGGATTACTGGCACAGTACCTGGCACATACTATATGTTCACTTAAATGAGAGCCACTCGGTCTATTCAAAAAGTTACAGGACATTTTAAGGCTTAAAAAGGCTGAATTATGTCCTACTTCCATATCTGAGCAAACTAAATGTGCTAATTCTATAAAAACAAAACAACAACAATAACAAAAAGAATAGATGCATGAAATCAAAGATAAATAGTAGGGTTTTTTTTTTTGTTTGTTTATTTGTTTGTTTTTTGAAATAGAATCTCCTTTGTCACCCAGGGTAGAGTGCTGTGCCATCACAGCTCACAGCAAACTCCAACTCGTGGGCTAAAGTGATTCTCTTGCCTCAGCCTCCCAAGTAGCTGGAACTACAGGTGCCTGCCCAACACCTGACTATTTTGTTGTTGTTGTTGTTTTTGTTGCAGTTGTCATTGTTTTAGCTGGCCTGGGCTGGGTTCAAACCCATCAGCCTTGATGTATGTTGCTGGCACCATAACTGCTGTGCTATAGGCACTGAGACAATGATAAATAGTTTTTAAAAGACAAATGACGCTCTTCATCCGGCCAGTAGGACTTTGGGGGGGACAATAGGATGAAAATAGACAGCTAGATAGAAAGATAGATGAATTAATTAATTAGTTAATAAAACTAAGTGGTTAACAGCTGGAGAGGCATAAGGAAAAATATCACCAATAACAGTTTCTTTTGCTATTTTTTAAAAATTATATATCTTGTGGTAACTTTCAATGTTGTATATTATTTAGATCTGATACATAACTTTTTAATTACACATAGATTGTATTATATTGCCTTATATTTGAGAAAACTATTTTGAGTAAAACTAGAATAAATAGACATAGTTAACTTTAAAAGGTAATATGGCCAACAAGTTTCATTTATTTGCCTGACCACATAAAATCAAAACTTACCTGCTAATAGCGTTAATGAGAGTTTTCACTATTTATAAGCTTCAGCCATTCCATGGTAATTAGCATGGAGGTGTTATTCACTCTTGTCCTAGTACAGGTTTCCTTTTAACCTTTCTAAGAGCTCTTGCTATTTTTTGCTTCATTGCTTTGCTTTATTGAACATTATAAGACATGGCAAGCAATTAAGTATGATTGTGTAGGAAATTAAATCAGCAAAAGTGCATTAATGGTCAAGTTTAAATACATAAGAGCAACAAAATTGAAGTAAAGGTTGCCATTCTATATTTAGCATGTCTTATTTTCTTCAGGTATTGTAACACGTAAAATGTGTTAAATCATTCATGCTTTGAAGAGCATAAAAGTACTTCACAGTGAATTTAATTGATGACAGGATTTACGGTCCTGTCATGAAAAGCTCGTAATTGTCCACACTTAATAATATAACTATTTGTTGCCTTACTTTTGGATGTATGAGGATACATTTTAAATGGACAAAGGATCTGAATATATATGCTGTATTTACTGACTTATTTTAACATGTGAAATTAGTGTTTTTGAATAGTATGTCCTCATTCAATGTTTTTTTTTTTTTTGGATTTATTTAACATAAACTTTGGCTCAGCAAAAATAAGTTGGGGAATGATTCAGGACTAAAGATAAAATAGTTCGTATTGCATATGTTTAATTAAAAGATAAATAATGTGGATGAAAATACCCACACATTTTCAATTTTAAGCCATATGGATTAGTACTGATTCATAGTTTGTTTGTTTGTTTGTTTTGCAGTTTTTGGCCAGGGCTGGGTTTGAACCCACCACTTCCAGCATATGGGGCCGGCGCCTTACTCCTTTGAGCCACAGGCGTCGCCCTGATTTATAGTTTTTTATAAAAATATAGGGAATGATCATAGCTGAGGTACCATTTTGTTGTTGTCCAGATCTAGTTGACCTGCACAGTTGTACATAACACCATGAATGTTTATGAATAAGTATCAGTGAAGATTTCTTAAAGCTATTTGTTCATAAGACGTTCCTTAAACAAAATTCCTTGCTGTGGCATCATTCGCAGGTATTGCCGTTACTTACTTCAAGATACGGTGTAGTAAAAAGAAAAAAAAAAATGAAGAAACAAACGTTCACTGATCACCTACTATGCTACAAACCCTGTGCTAAGCAAAAGGCCCTAAATTTAAGGACCACAAATTTTAGATGAGGATTTGAAAATTAAGAACAACCACATAATCTTTGAACATTTTAACAAATGACAAAAATGTAAGAATTATTAGGTGTAGTTTAACTCTGATTCTGCTCATCAGTGGGGGAGAGTATCCCCTAAGCCTTTTGGGGCCTGAATAGGACAAAATGGCAGAAAAGGGTGAATTTTGAGCTGGGACATGAATCTGCAGCTGGGTAATCTGCCCTATTATGCCTTCAGATGTTAGGGCTTCTGGTTCTCTACCTCTACTCACAACTTCACTGGGCTGAGGCCTTTGGCATCAGACTGAGAATCATACCAATGTATGTTTGTTTTGGTTTTAGATATCAGTTTGCATTCACATTGTATGCCTCCCCATTATCCAAGAAAGACTAAAGGTGACACACGTGAACACACCTGCATTTCATGTCACACACCATTAGTTCTTCTCTAACCTGATCCAGATATTAATTTAAATAGATTTCATATGAATGAAAATGTAGAAAAAAGCAAAGGGAATTATGTAATTATTTTAAGTATTTCACTACTGTTAGAAATAGAAAATGGGGCTTGGCCCCTGTGGCTCAAGTGGCTAAGGTGCCAGCCACATACACCTGAGCTGGTGGGTTTGAATCCAGCCCAGGCCCGCCAAACAACAATGATGGCTGCAACCAAAAAATAGCTGGGTGTTATGGCAGGCGCCTATAATCCCAGCTATTTGGGAGGCAGTGGCAGAAGAATTGCTTGAGCTCAGGAGTTGGAAGTTGCTGTGAGTTGTGATGCTACGGCACTCTACCCAGGGGGACAGCTTGAGGCTCTGTCTCAAAAAAAGAGAAAGAAATAGAAAATGGGAGAGCCAATATTTAAAGAAAGTGTTTTATGGCTGGGCAGGGTTCAGTGATTATTCTTATAATCCTAGCACTCTGGAAAGCCTGGGGGTGGAGTGGAGGCAGGGAATTGCTTGATCTCAGGTGTTGAAGACCAGCCAGATCAAGAGCAAGA